ATATTTACAATTTCAATATAGATGTATTTCTATTTAAATTTTTTCAACTCAAAATGGACTGGTAAAGACCTAAAGACGACGTAGATAAACATAGTTAAAACGTAGTTAAAACGTAGACACATAAAAACTACATAAGGACTTGTAGCAGAGAAACTTGGCTCCACATTCCTGCTCAGATAGCCTTTTAGAGCTTCCTCTAACACTATGGGTGACATCAGTACTCAGTCAGTCCTCTCTATGTACAGTCGACGTGTGCGACTGATAATTGCTGCACAAAGTTCCTATGTCTTTGGGGTTTTTTTTCTTTTTCCCAATTTTCCCCTATTACTTCATGGAGGCGCCAGTATCGATCTACTTCATGATTTTCTCCAACTCTTTGTCGCAGCCTCCAAACTTCTGCTTGACGTTCCCCTCAAAAGCAATTGTATCTGATTCATAAACAATAAAAAGAGGAAACATATTCAAATCAAAGTTGATTTTAATATGCTGCATTTTTTTCCTTCGGCACAAATCCTTTAGTGAATGGTTAGCATTCAGAAGCTTTCGTCTTCGGCCTTGATCACAGCCCCAGAGCAGCTTTATCGCTCACAAACAAATCGTGTCCTGTTTTATTCAAACTCTAGAGGAGAGACTCAAGTGGCTAAATAGTTTTGAGTAAATAGAATGACTCATTTGTTTGTTGCCATGAATTATTAACAGTTTCAAATCAATTCACGTCATCATTTTATATGATTTTCTTTTTGTTTGTTTTAAGGGGAAGATAGTGGGGAAAGGATTAAAAAGAAAAAGTGCCTTATTATATGTACAGTATATGTAACATAAAAAATAATGATAATGGAAACGACACAATGAAGTTACACAAAAGCACACGTATGTCCAAAGTTAGATACATTTTTGTTTTTCCAAAAGCAGGATAGAAAAACTAACAAGTAAAACATTGAACATTGGTCAGAAAATACAGATTTGGCAATGTTCACGGAAATGAAGCAGATGTCTCCTTTATCATGTGTTTTATTTTCAAAAATGCAGAGAATAATATACACACACACACCCACACGCGCACACACACACACACAGGTCCAGGACCAAAAAATAACGCACAAATCTGTACTAATCTTACAAGTAACAAAAAGACTCTGAATCACCTTTTTTACTCTTTTCATTAAAGGTGCAGTAAGCGATTTTGTTAGCTTAGCCTTAGCACAAACTCGAAACCACTCCCCCCTCCCTTCACCTCTTCACTAAACCAAACATCCTGCATTTTCTGTTCTTTGTCACAACAGGGAGAGTGGGTGGCAAATGTGAAATTGGCATTTTCTGTTTAGCCCTTTTAGGTTTTAGAAAATATGATAATTCATGTGCGCGCACTCGCAAGAAACAGGAAGAGGGTGACCCCAACGCATCCCATTGGTTCATTGGGGATGAACGAATCCCATTGGTTTATTTTTATCGACCCGCTCCAAAATATATTTTTTTAATTTTTGGAGACTATAGGCATCTGGTCAATTCCATTAATATTTGAAAACACATGATAACTTTTAGGGTTTAGGGACGTTTTCACACAATATTTAAAATAGAAATGAATATTAGAATATAGTCCATTTATTTTGAGTTTTACCTAAAGTACTCTCTCTAGTTCTCGCTGCTGACACTTCCAAAAAAGCATTGTTTACAATTGTCAGTTCAATTCAATAAAATGTATTTTTCTTTAGCCCAAAATCACAACAGCAGTCGTCTTCGAGGACTTTGCAAAGTTGTCCATTCACAGTTGAAACACAGGAAATGATCCTAGCAAACACATAGGAGCCATCAGTCCATTGGCATCTCCTCTCAGATTTACAAGATGATCCACTCGATGATATTCCTTGATATATGTATGATCACGGATACAGATCTACTTTTACTCTTTGGTTTTAAGAGACTATAGACAAATCCCCTCGTGTCTGAAGTGCACATTGTTCCAGGCACATCTAAAACTATTTATAATGAAGGTAAACCTGGGGGACATAGAGAAGGTCAAGGAGTATTGTCAGCAAATGAAAAGTCTCGGCATCCCTTCTGCGTCAGCGTGACATTGAAGCGACTCAAGGGATATTTATAAAGTTAACAAACCTGCCCCTGACAAAACAATTCAAGTCAGGCTTTCTGGAACCTCCAAAGTAATACAAATTCACTGCAAAAAATGATTAAATATGATGTAATAATTGCTTGAATTGAGTGGTTTTTTTATGTTAATCTGATTACATTCTGACGATTAGATTAGCCAATGGGACAAAACCGTTTTATCTAATTTCAAGAACTGTTGCTTTATTTTCTCATTCCAAGGGAGACATTTCTTGTATCTTTTAAAAACAAGATTATTATGCTTGTCCCACTGGCAAATCTTGTTTTAAGGCAGTCAAATGTGCTCAAATTAAGATACATTTAGCCAATTTAGAGCAATTTTGTGCTTATTTTTCATAATTTTTCTCAGTGTATTTAATAACTGAAGTTACAAAGTGAATTTTAAAACTCGTGAGAGAGGAAAGATCTTCTTGCTTCTGTCCATCTGAATATTAACGTTTTTACCTGTGACGTTACACTGTATGGATTTAAGCTTACCCATTGACGTACTGGTCGTGTCCACAGATTGGTGAGCCGGTTTTCCACCAGAATTCAGGGTTTTCATTAGTCAGAACACAGCTGAATACAATGAATAATACATACTCACAAGCAATCACCCAATCTCATTTCACACACATACACGCATTCATACACACACACACACACACACACACACACACACACACACACACACACAGGCACACGCACACATAAAACAGGACAAAAAGTAAGCTATATTCAAATCGACCAACTTTGATTTCGATTTCAGCACAGAGACTGTCATGTGGCAAAGCATTCTGTTTACAAGGAGGAACACAAGATGGTTGACCTTGATTTGATTTGGTTTTCACACACGCTCAGATGCTGCAGGAGAAAACTTTTTAATTCTGCAGAGCTCTTAAAAAGCACCGTGATTCCAGTTAAGTTTTGTTTTTGCTTCGCGTAACAAACCAAATCAACAAAAAAAGTGGAGTGAGGGACCACGTATCAATTGTTTCCCCTTTAATGATTTAAGAGCTATATCTACTTTTACCATCAAACCGCATCTCAACCGTTTGGAAAAGGCCTATAATTGAAAAACAAGGGGTTAAAAACCATGTGTTAAGTGCTCCTACATCTTAGAAAATCACTAAAAGAAGACATTACATTGCTTTCTTTAAGGGGTGAACATTAAAGGGTTAAAAACATGAGTGGGTCACCTATGTCCGTCTAAACCAGTGGGGGCGGGTCCCAGCTCAAAAGTGGCCTAAATGAGGTGCGCTGACATGCTTGCAATACCACCCCGGGCCGATGGGGGTGGACCCAGAAGAAGAATTAGCCAATGCTAACATATAGCATTGGCAGACCTCTCAAAAACGTCTTTACAGGATGGACCAAAAGTTGGCTCTTGGCCCAAAGCTCCGATATGTGTCAATGCTGAGGGGGGTGGATTTTTTTGAACCACTCTAGTTTACTCGCTGTGAATTTTTGAAGTCTCTCGTTCAAATGAATGGAGCTGCGCCACCTGACGCATGCGCAGATGCGTTTTTTCACAATTTTCTTGTGGGCGGAACCACTCGCGGCCATCTTGGATTGCTCCATGAAAGCACTTTTCATGGCCAACTCCTATGAACGGCGGAGATAGGCGTGACTCTGTCCGTTATTATATGCAGTCTATGGTCTAAATACATACATTTCAAATACAAGCTTGAGTTTTCCCTTTGCTTTTAAATGCATCTCTGCCTAGTGTCTCATAAGGATCCAGTTGACATGTATACCTGCAGCTAAGCCACTGTAGAATCGGCACCAGCTCCCTAGAACGGACTGGCTTTTCACTCCTCATTTAGCAAGCACAGATTTACATGCACCTTTATCAATCGAATTAAATTGGAGTAAAGAAGGAGGATTCTGTTTTCACAAGTGTTTTAATGTCAGGATTGTTGCATTTTTAAAAGAGAAACAAATACATCCTCATCTTAGCATCCAACAGCCTGTGCCTTTCTTGCGTCTTGTGTTATTAGCCGTTATCCAAACTTTGAAATAAGCCACTTCTGCTGCATTTAGCGGAATCAGTCTGGATCCCAAAGGTGCCAACCCGGATGCTGACTGCGCAAACATCGCACCATCTGCCACAGAGACATTTCATTTGGAACACTGGTCATGTGGCTGTGTGTGTTGTCTGTCACTGTCTCTTAAAATATGCACAAACAGTGACATGATTTCACTGTGTCTGGATTTTATATTGTATGATTTGATTTCCATTCATCACTAGGGAGATCACATATGTACTCAGCGGTTTCCATCAAAAAGATAATTGGTTAATTTCCTTTCAAATGACAGATCTGATGTTTAATTCATGAGGCTCAGAATCCCAGCGGAAAATATGATTATGATAAAGTTACTCGGTACCTGCCGCAGAATCTTTTCATTAATAGATAACATGATAGTGACATTTGATCCTTTATTCGTCCCACAGTGGGGAAATGTCAGTGTTGCATCGCAAGTTATAGAACAGTAGGAAAGAGGAGCCCACAGCACAAGATAAGTGAAGAATAGCTATACTAATTAAAACAAAACAAAATCTCTAACTCTAGCATCAATTTCATGCAGACTATTCCACATAACTGTCATGTTGGGAAAGATTGTTGCACTTGGACTTGGACTTCATCAAACGCAAACAATGTCTTTCTCAAGGTTTCAGTTCACCCAGAGGTTAGTAGCACACAGGTCAGTAGCACTGGGGTTAAGGCTGTGTCATGGACCCTGTATTCACCCACGCGGCCTTTTCACAACCAAGATTGCTTTTATGTGCACCTTTTTGTCACACCGTTGTCATTGTTGAGTCTGTATTTGAATGCAAATCCGCCGCCTGGTGAACGGCTCTAATTGTCCTTTTCCCTTCTTGTCTCGTCCCACAGATTATACCCAGGAACAATGACACTCGCTCTACACTCATGTACAAATACATCATCCATGAGGACTCGGTTCCTCTGAACAACAACAACGTGATTCAGGAGGACACGTATGAGTGGGCTCTGAAGAGTTGGTCGCCCTGTTCTAAGCCCTGCGCCGGAGGTAATCAGCAAATTACCATCAAATTAGGCACAAGTTTGTCTTCTATAGGCTCTAGTGGAAGACGTGTTAGCCAAACAGTTTAGTCTTGTGTTTCTCATGTATAAATTACTGAAGTCCTTGTTCTGATCCAAAAAGCGGGAAAGCAAAACCAATGATTTTTAATTAGGACAAAAATAAAAAAGGCCAGGGGAAAAAAACAAATCAAATATCCTGTGAATTTGAATTAGCCCAGACATGAGACAAGGAGACATCAGAAGGTTGCATTGTTCAATTAGCATTTATTAGTAGTTTTAAGCAAGGCAGCTCCAAAGTCTGGTCCATGGCCGCTCCTGTAGAAGTTTGCAAAAGTTTACATAACTCTACCAAAGTCAGCGACAGTCTCCCAAAGTCTAGCAAAGTCTAATCGTCAGAGAAGGATGGTGCTTATATAGGCCTTAAATGCTGACGTAACCCCATATATTAAGCATATTTGAAACTCCATGAAACAGTGTCTATATTGATTAGCAAGAAATCAATGCATCCATCCATTTTCTACCTCTTAATCCATTTCCGGGTTGGGGGGGGGGTGGCCAGAGATGCCACCCAGTTCACATGGCCCTCACTGATCCTCCGGCAGGTGATGAGTCCACAGGAGGATGGCCGTTCTATGCTATTGCCTTGATCTTTCAGCGGGGGCTTCAGGCAAAGTTGGGTTAAAAACTTATGCCGGGTTTAAAAAAAAAAAAAAATGTATATCAAAATTGCATGACAATGTCGATCTGAAATAGATTCCGGAAAAAAAAATCCTATATTTTATAAAAAGAACGTGTTTTTCATGAATGTAAGTTGTCTATGCTCTAACCTGTGTGTGACGTCATAGCGGGTTACGCCCATGCATTGAAAACCATGGATCTATGCCACACAAGCCCCGGCGATTCAAGATGGCGCCCTATTCAAATGAATGGTTGTGCTCAGTGGCGCTTTGTGACGGCATGGGGGCTGAAAAGATTAGCGGAAATTGCCTGAAACTCGCAAAGATCTATGGGAAACTCGCAAAGAACTTTGGGAAACTCGCAAAGATCTATGGGAAACTCGCCTGTATTTGGGCATCGTCTGGTCCTCCCGGTTCTGCGCAGTGGATGATCTCCCATAATGCGTTGCGTCAAACACGCGTGTGTGGGTCTCACACCGGGTCTCACGCACGTGCACAGAGGGGCTCGGCCGCGCTCTGACCAATCAGAGCAGTTCATCAGAGCGGGAGTTAGAGCGAGAGCCAGAGGAGTAGAGTTTGTGGCACTAAAGTGTGGATTTAAACAAAACCGAAGGATTTAAGAAGAAAAAAAGTTCAGGATGACAAGGGACACTAAAATCCCCACAAAATCCTATCTTTATTAAAGCTGTAGGTTCTCTGTCAGCTGAGGTCGAGCTGTTTTAATATGCATTGAGTCCTATGGGGAAAATTTCTCGGTAGCCCACGTGAATTTAGTCTGGTTCAGTCTGCAGTACCGCGAGAATCCCCTGAGCACATGAGTTATTCAGCTACAAGCTAGTAATACCCTATCCAGTTAATATAATACATCCATGATGCCTTTTCTCTCTTCTCTCCACTGATGCCCAACACAATACTGCACTCTACAGGTGACAATTGCTCACTACACATAAATTGCCGTTTTGAGAGTGAAAATGTGTCTGAGGTGAGATTTGAACCCCAGTATCTGGATTGGCAGTCCATCGACACAACCACTGGACTACTCTCAGTGACAACGAAGTGTTACAATCTAGTAGTAATTTGATACTCGCTGTACACGGCCTTGTCATCTTGAATATCCGTGAAAAAAGAACGAATACCAAATTGTAAACAACTTACAGCGTTGAAACGTACCCACTCTGACGTCACCAAGGGCTGTGAAGTTTTTTTGTCTCTAAGGGCGTTGCTATGGGGTTATTTCGATTTGGGGGGATCAGACAAAAAAAACAACAACTGATTTTGAAACCTTTAGTAGTTCTCTTCTAATATAAAATGGTATTAAAACTGTATTTCTAAATAAATCAAACCCGGCATAAGGTCTTTAAGTGTCTTGCCCAAGGACACACCGACAGCGGTCATCAGTGAGAATCGGTGGAGAAGGTCTCATGGTGGGCTCGAACCCACAACCTTCAGGCTCAAAGGCCAATGCTCTACCAACTGAGCCACTGTCGCCCAATTAGCAAGAAATAATATTTAGATATTCACAATCCAAACAACACTCAGGAACATTGACAGACACAGACAAGCAAAGGCAATGGATCAGCAACTTGGGGAGAGGAGCACAGGTAAATATAGACGCAGAAAGACACAGGGGAAACCCGTTAGGGCGGGCAGACCATCAAGACAGGGGAACAGGACATGAAGTTACTGTAACTACAGCTGAGGTGGGAGAGTCTGTCCATAGGACAACAATCAGTCGTGCACTGCACAAATCTGGCCTTTATGGAAGAGTGGCAAGAAGAAAGCCATTTCTCAAAGATATCCATAAAAAGTAGGGATGCACCGATCCGATACTGGTATCGATATCGGCGCCGATACCAGAAAAAATACTGGATCGGATATCTGCGTAGAGAGAGGCGCCGTGCTGCCGATCCATTTTCTTTTCTTTTTTTTTTAAAAATTATATATATTTTTTAATACATACCAGGTACCGCACAATGTCTTAAAATACATTGTGCATAATGTACATATACGTATAAAATGAATTAATTAAAAGTAATTTATCAGATCTCACGTACACGTCACTTCCTCGTGGCGCTCTACAACAACAACAAACAGCATGGAGCGCAGGAAAGAATCAGCGTTCTTCACGCGGCGGTAAACTAGCGAAATACAACACGACTAAGCACCACGAGAAACAGCATGGGGAGTTTTTGCATCGAAAGGAGATTACGAGACACAGATGACACTGACGCAGCGTCACAAAAAGCTTTTCAGCAACAACCCAAAAGTGTTGGAGTTCGTCAGTTTGGGCTCGCAGCCCCATAGACCATTTGGAACCCAGGTACATGCCGTCGCCAAATACATACTACGGTACTATTATTTATTTACATTTTCATGCAGCGTGTTTTGTTTGTTGTAAGTATTTTTTTATTCAAACACAGTTAATATAAGTACATTTATATTCAATACATGTATAAGGTATAATACAGTGTTGGAATGTTTAATGTAAACATTGAGCAGCTCTTTATAGTTGCAGTATTGCACATTTATGTTGAATCCATTTTTATCTGGAAAGTTTAGTGCTTTAGTTCATCCACTGCTTTTGCAGTTACTTGAACAAAGAGACATTGAATACATTTTAGCATGATCATTTCCGGTATTGGTCAATAGCGGTATCGGCAGATACCCATAGCTCTGGTATCGGTATCGGTATCGGTAGTAAAAAAGCTGGATCGGTGCATCTCTAATAAAAAGTCTGGTTTAAAGTTTGCCATAAGCCACCTGGGAGACACACCAAACATGTGGAAGAAGGTGCTCTGGTCAGATGAAACCAAAATCGAACTTTTTGGCCACAATGTAAAACGATATGTTTGGCGTAAAAGCAACACAGCTCATCACCCTGAACACACCATCCCCACTGTCAAAAATGGTGGTGGCAGCATCATGGTTTGGGCCTGCTTTTCTTCAGCAGGGACAGGGAAGATGGCTAAAATTGATGGGAAGATGGATGGAGCCAAATACAGGACCATTCTGGAAGAAAACCTGTTGGAGTCTGCAAAAGAGCTGAGACTGGGACGGAGATTTATCTTCCAACAGGACAATGATCCAAAACATAAAGCCAAATCTACAATGGAATGGTTCACAAATAGACGTATCCAGGTGTTAGAATGGCCAAGTCAAAGTCCAGACCTGAATCCAATCGAGAATCTGTGGAAAGAGCTGAAGACTGCTGTTCACAAACGCTCTCCATCCAACCTCACTGAGCTTGAGCTGTTTTGCAAGCAAGAATGGGAAAGAATTCCAGTCTCTCGATGTGCAAAACTGATAGAGACATACCCCAAGCGACTTGCAGCTGTAATTGCAGCAAAAGGTGGAGCTACAAAGTATTAGTGCAAGGGGGCCGAATAATATTGCACGCACCACTTTTCAGTTTCTTATTTCTTAAAAAAGTTTAAATTATCCAATACATTTCGTTCCACTTCACGATTGTGTCCCACTTGTTGTTGATTCTTGACAAAAAAAATATTTTTTATATCTTTATGTCCGAATACTTTCGCAAGGCACTGTAAACTAAAACCAAACCACAGAGAACTGATGTCAAAAGGTCAGTCAAAATACACAATAACATGATCCAAACCATGACGCAAACTGCTCATATGTGATTGGCCTCTGAGATGAGTTGCATAGGTGTGGATCTCTTATGACATTTTTGAAGAAATTATAGTTAAAGGTCCTATATCACGCTTTTCTTCATGTTTCACACTCAATCCTATGCACATGTGTGATATTAATGTGTATGATACACCACACAACAATCAAAGCTTGTGAGATTAGAGCCATCTCTTGTATAGCGGTGACGTCACCTCGACTCAAACGAGCTGATCCAGAGAAGAGTCTGCTCCTCTGCCTGTGAGCCCGCCTCCCCCCGCCCGCACGGTGACGTACCATCACGCTTTTGTCGTTTATCACCTGTACTTAGTAATTTCATACATAAGAATAAACTTTTCCAACAATGACAATCCGTCACATCGAGCCCTATGTCCTCGTCTTTTACCGTGGGAATAACGTGTTTCCAGATCAGCTTTTGAGTAAGTCCAGTTCCATTGTCCCTGTAGTTCTGGAACAGTCTCAGTGAAGTGTTGCAGATGAACCGGTATTATAATAGATCCATGGGATGAACAGATGAAAAAAGTCGAGCCGCTTTCTTCCTCTTAGGGCCAAATAGTGTGTCACATATTTACACCCATAACACACTTCATTCAAGTTGACGTGATCCTAACACTTTTAGTTGCTGACAAAAGCATAAAAACAGCAGCTCTATGTGGAGTCCGCGAGACCAGACCACAGACGCTGGACTCGGGAGCCGGAGCCTGTGCGCTCTGATTCGCTGTTTTGATCCGTCAATCACCTCCCGCCGGCTTTTAATTTATTTTTATTTGTATTATTTTTGACAAAAAACCGCATACTACTTGTGTTTTGTTTACCCCGTTTTTACAAAAGTATTTAACAACTATTTTAAATACAAAGCAAACGGGGTCATGCGCGTCATCAGTGTGGTTTTCGTCACTGAAGTGGACCCGAGCGTTTCTGTGCCTCACGCTGGGGAAGGAGACAGATTGCTCTCTTACAAAAGATTGACAGAATCAATGAATAAACTACTGTGGGCTTGTGTATGAAGACCAAATAGCATTGTAATCATGTTTAAAGCAGAGGAAAGTCAAAAACCGTGATATGGGCCCTTTAAAGCTGAACTCCTCGTTAGGAAGAAGCCAGGGATTTTCCGCTTGATGTTTTGGTTATCTGAAGGCCCAAGCTAGCATAAAATTTCTTCTGCTGTGACACGATCCTAGACCTCCGCACCTTTTCCCATTTTCCTCCAGTTGGTGGAGAAGGCAAGCAATGTCTGAAGAGCTAAAATCTTCCGTACAAAAGACTTTTTTTTCTCTACACTCGTAGCCCGTTTTTTTTTTTTCAAGTTATACGAGTCATCACTTGAGATAATAATAACGCATGATTACGATATAGATACTATTAACAATGTGTGTCAGAGCAAATGCATTCAGTTCTTCAGATAATAATGTTTAGCAGTAATACTTAGATAACTGACGTCCAAACTCCAAAACATGCAGGTCAAAATCCACACAAAGCTTGATACTTAGTAGCAAAAAGTCTTTAATGCGTGGGCTGACACATTTTGGGAAGCATAGGCGACATGTCTCTCTTGACATGATTGCAGATGTTCCTTGTATACTCTTTACAAGTACCAGGGAGGGGTTGAAGAGTTGTTTTAGTCCTTTTGAAGAAACCAGCTTACCCTCGCCTTCAGCACTCAACACTTCCATGTTTTTGCTCCGTGGATTGATATGTTTTTTTGGGAATTTCTTAGGGTCTGTATTTAGCTCTCAGACCTGACCTGAAGTTAGAAAACACATATTAGCCTGTATCCCGTCGATACAGGCTCGATGCAGAGAAGTCTCTCCTTTCTCATTGCGCTTGTTCCATCGACCAGACTTTCTCTTCCCCGTCACCATCTTTTCATAACCCTCCAAATCGTCCTCAGAGTCAGAGAGGTTGATGTTGCTGTCCTCCAGAGCCTGTGTAATTGAACCATAGAAATGATTGACTTTGAAGTGCAAGTTAAAATGTAAATACAAGAATTGTTTGGCACATTTGGCGTAAATTGCAGCTTCCATCAGTATCAAATGAACAAATGTAGATGTACAGCTTTTCTATTACTGTTAAGGACGCTGGGGTTTTTGAGTCGTTTCTCGCCGATGCAGGAGGGTCTAAGGATGATCCAGAATATTGAAGGTGATTAATGAGCATAACATTTCCTGTGTTCTAATTGTTTGATTCTCTAATCTAACTAAAACACAACATGAGCTTAATTAGATTCAAGGAAACATTGTATGGAAATTGTATTGTATAATAGAAGGTGCCACAAGGGCTTTTGAGATTTATAAAACAAAATTTACACTGAGAGTGTCTGTGTGTTCACATTTCCAGGATACCAGTACACCAAATACGGTTGCAGAAAGAAGGGCGACACCAAGATGGTCCACAGAGGATACTGCGACGCCAGCAAGAAGCCCAAACCCATCAGACGCATGTGCAACCTCCAGGACTGCAGCCAGCCTCAGTGAGTACCATACAAAGACTGCAAAATTGGCCCATGTGCCAAAATCTTTGCATTGCCAATCGACATCTTTGTGAACTCCTCCGAGACGACTGCTGCTGTGATTTAGGGCTATACAGAAATGAATGGAATTGAATTGACAGTGCAGGCAGGCAATATTAACTGTACAAAGCACTCATAATGGGCTTTAACTCTCTATAGAGTTATTAGTTAGTAAGAGTAGGATGTGTTGAATCCCTTTGAGCCTGAGCCAGAGTCGATACCTGTGCTTTAAAGCACTGTTCCTCTAATTCTCAGGTTCATCGATATGTTTGTTCACTGGATTGTTTTCCAGTGTTTCAGTGTTTTCAAATTACATTGATTTTGAGTTTGCTTAATCCTCGCCAAATGTGTTATTGGAGGAATAACTGTGTTGTCTGAACCGCTTCTGCAGCCAAACAACAAAAGACAAATGCTTTATGGATATTATAGCTTTTCCAATATAATTATCATATATTTTTCTTATATAAAAACACTTATTTTTAGCAGCTGAAGCCATGAGTTAATATCAAGGCTCCCATTTAAAGGCATTCAGGTTTCTGAATTATTTATCTACAATCAAAGAAATATGAAGCATTCATTTGATGAATTATTCTGTTTTCATCTATTACTAAAACTGTTTTAGTACCCATTTACTTTTGTTCCACTGACTGATGGACAGTCTGCACAGGGACTAGACGAGAAAATTAGCGCTCCTGCTACAACCTGGTACAATGAATCTCCCCTTTAGGCTAATTTTTATCGGATGCTGTTCCTGTAAAAATAAAAATAATGCTATGCCGTCAGTTTTAGGGATGTAAATCGGCGACCGTTTAACCGGTGGTTGACCGTCACAGCGTTAACCGGTCAAAGCTGTCGGTTAAAAAAAGAGAAAAAGGGGAGAGGGGAGGTCTCTTAATAACGCTATTTAAGCCCTATTTGCACGGTGTGACGAGCGGGTCTGTATCTAGCTGTGTGCGCCCATGTATTATAAACTCCGGGACGACTCTCACGCCGCACGCGCCACATATGCACACACGCGCGCACACACACACACGCGCACGCGCACATACACACACACACACACACTTTCCCCCTCTCTATACTGTACGTAACATCCACACGCATCATCTCTCCCCTCTGTTACCGTCAAAGTTGCACACTGGCGCGAGTCAGAACTACATTGGAGCTTACATTTACACACACACACACATACATACACACACACATACACACATACATACACACACACATACACACATACATGCACACACACATACACACACACATACCGGTCTGTCGCGCTCCTCTGTGTCACGGAGCCCAAAGGATTCGCACAAATACGCGGCTCCAGTCCAACCACATGGAACATGTTTGTGTTTATGGTCCTCGGGATCAGCTCCACACACATCACTTGTATTTAAACTTTTGTGAAGACCTGTGAGACGCGGCTCGTCACTCGCTGCTCTGACCATGTGAACGAGCCGTCTTTGCTGCTAGAAAGTTTTGGTATTAACCCGCAGCACAGCAGAATGGGAAGATTATAAAAGCAGTTCTCTGTGCGCAAAGGTGCCGGAGCTGTTGCGGGTTTGGGCGCCGCTGTCTCAACTCTGATCCAGTAGAACGCAGAGCTGCACTTATGAAAAGTACGTGGCTCGAAATGGCTGTTATTTCAAAGAACGTGGACTATTTTAAACTACGCGGTTAACCGGTTTCAACCGGTTAATGAGGCTCGGTGGTCGGTCATGAAAATTCATAGTTTTTTACATCCCTAGTCAGTTTACTGCCATTCCTCTCCTGAGAAGGTATCGCTCAATGGGAAAAGGTTGGAGAAACCTTTAAATTACCTGCACTACATATTATTTTCATGCAAAGTTAGACAAACTTTTCCCAAGTGTTATTTTCTCACAGGCCCTCAGGTGCGTTGTCATGGTACCGGGTATGAGCAATTTGCATGAAACTTTACCCACAAACTGCGCTACAGTCTCCATGACAGCCAGGTGATTCACACTTCGAACACGACAAAGAACCCTGTCATTTGCAAAAGTTGCAGGTCACTGTGTAATGTGTTCTGTGCAAGTGGACCGCTGTAACTTAATGCAACATGTCTCGGTCTGAAACCTGGACCTAAATTAGAAAAAGGAAATTATATATTTCCTTTTGACAACTAGAAATGAAAGTCTGGGTAATACCAAAAAGTGTTATTGAGGATTATCAAGTTTAGGAAACAGAGCTGAGGCCAGAGTCATGAGGGGAATAAAAATAAAGAGTTTGCTCACATTTGAATATATGCTCAGAAATAACAGGCACATTAACCGAAGTTGGAATGCAGTTGGAGCAGGGTCGGATGAATAGATAGATAAAGGTCATTACTACTATATATATATATATATATATATTTTTTTTTGTGTGTGTTTTTTTTCTAACCAACAAGTGTTTTGCCGTTACCGTAAATTGCAGCATTTACGGTTCGCAAAAGACAAAAAGAAGAGGTCCACTACATGGCACAAATCCCATTATGCTTTTTGGCTTGAGGGGGTGTCTCTCCCATTGAAGCTGTGTCCTGAAAATCTGTGTAAAATCTGCCGTGGGAGTTGAAGAAGTGTGTGAGCCCTGATGAGGGAAGAAATCCCATGGCGAGTTTGAAACCTCAGCATTCACAGGGAAACACTTTAAACAGCCGGTCTCAGTCTTGTTGATGCACTAAAACAATAGAAATGATCGCTGTCTTCTGACTGTTTAAAAAAACCTGCACACACAATGAAGTGATACGGAATGCGAGGAATATGAAAGCTTTCCCTGTTTGACTTTCCTGTTTGAAAATCTCCAAATACAGGAACGCAAATTGGCAATCTCCGACCACTGTAAAAGAAAGAACCACATGATGGTTTGGAAAAAGGAAATATCACTGGGTCTGAGGATAACAAACACTGACCGCTGGATTAAAAAGGCGATAGAAATAGAGAAACCGGGACAAGGGGGCTTGTTTACTCTCACACACCTGGGATGCTGTCCCGCAGAAGTCGGACTGCAGATGGCGCTGTCGTTCTGCCTCTGGTGGTGGGAAGACCTCAACAAAATCGGTCCATCCATCCATCCATTTTCTTCCCCTTAATCCATTTCTGGGTCGGGGGGATGGCAGTCAGAGCTGCACCCAGTCCACTTAGCACCAGCCCCTCACGGATCCTCCTGCAGGTGGTGAGTCCACAGGAGCCTTGAATATTCAGCAGGGGCTTCAGGCAAAGTGGGGTTAAGTGTCTTGTCCAAGGACACAACGACAGCAGTCATCATTGGGGGTCGTGAAGTAGGTCTTGTGGTGGGCTAGAACCCACGACCTTCAGGCTCAAAGGCCAATGCTCTACCAACTGAGCAACTGTCGCCCCCAAAAACGGTGCAAAACAGAAAACAAGACACGTCCAAGGAACAACAACAAAAAACTCTGGTCTTAGAAAAAATAACATCTTCTTGAATATAGAAAAAGAAAAACATGTATTTTTCTTTCTTTGAAAACGTCTGTATGTGTTTTCAACGTTTTAGTATTTTCTTGATGATTGACGCAATTCAAAGCAGGCTCCCTTTGATCGAGGGAAGAAAGTGTTGAGAAATAATTGCAGCTACATTTTCAAAAGCATTATGATTTTTTTAACACACAAAAACTTTGAACTAGCCTTTTCTTTGAGTTTCTCTTTTCCTTTCACTGATTTCTACTGGATCGCCTTGGTCAAGAGGATTAGAACCAAATCTTTCAAAGCCAAGTCCCTCACTACCTGCCCTCATTTTCACATCTTTTTCTTCTCCTCGGTTATCTGTTCATCTCTAAGCCCGCCCGCCCGGCCTCCTTGAGTTCTGTGAAAAGGACTGAAGATTAGAGTCAACCTCAGAATATTCAAAGTGCTGTGATGAAATGTCTAAATGTGGCTCGAGAGGAGAGTGTGAAATGGAGAGAGGTGGTTGAGAAAACTTTGATTTTACTTCTCTTTCACAAAACTTCACAAATCTCTGTGTGGAGCGTTTAAAAGCAAAAAATAAATACGTAGTTTACGATTGCCCAACAGCAGCTGCATCATTTTAAGTAGTTTATTTATGCAAAAGTGACTGGAGCTTCTCAACACTCAAATTTGAATGATCAACATGAATTTATAATGCCTCTTATTTCCAGTCATATAAAACATCTGCTGATCATTGAAAATACAAACTAAAATCTTTCCGCAAGAAGGGGGTGAGAAAGAGGCAAATAGGGCGGCACGGTGGCTGAGTGGATAGCGCTCTCGCTTCTCAGCAAGAAGGTTCTGGGTTCGAATCCCGGTCGAACAGGGCCTTTCTGGGTGGAGTTGGCAGGTTCTCCCCATGTTTGTGTAGTACTGTACTGTCCCAACCAAAAAAACTAAAATAAATAAAGGACGTCTTTGTCTAAACGGGGGCTCGAGCAGAGAGAATCAGATTCAGTTTATTTGCCATTTGCAGTAAAACCACGTTGGAATAATTGAGGTCAGGTCTCCATTACATTATCCTGACATTACAGTAGATCATGAAACACAGTCAAGATTTCAAAGATTTAAAGAGGACAGATTAAAAAAGGACAAAGTCAGTGATGGTGCAGAGATTAGGGGGCAGGCAGGACTTCCATAGGAGCCGGTCTCAGAGAGTTCTGCTTGAGTTTCGGACCTAGCTCAGAATTATTAAAAGGCCAAACAAAGACTACAGTTTTCAATTCTTGATTTAACAAGAAACTGGAAGGCAGTGAGTAAAGGACTGGGGTGATGTGCTCTTGTCTTGGCGTGTTTCTTTAAAACCGAGCTGCAGGGTTTTGCACCAATTGAAGATACTTTCAAATTCAGATTACAATATTCTATCCTCAAACTGATTAAAGCAGTTTGAAGGTTGGTCTCATTTTAAAAAAGGCTTGAGTTTGGACTTTAAATGCACTTTAATGTAATTAACAATGGGTAAGAATGGCAGGAACATACATAGTGATATCATATTAG